GTACTTCCTATAATTTTGTCCGGAGTTATGTTTTCTATGTTGGTATACACTCTATTAATTTTCACTCGTAACCAGTATGAAAATTCAGACGTGTTGAAAAATGAACTATACACCCTCATCCCAAGCAAACTTTCCTTTTTATTCGATGTCTTCATGTTTCCGATTTTCCATATTTTCTTTTTTCCAGCACTAAGAAACAAACTGAGGACAGAATGGAGTTATTTTTACATAGGATACGCATTGATTATATCGGCGAACGTCGTGATGTTTTATCAAATCATCAGAACACGTCACGTTTCACAAACCCCGTCAAATTGCGCGCACCTAAGATTTTACAACTCGATCAACGAAACCATTGAGCTCTCAGCGAAATGGTTAGAAATCAAACCGATAATCTTACAAAAATTTAGCCAACAGTCAGTAAACGATATATTCATGTCTTCCGAACAAGATACAAGAACAATATCTATTCACGGGAAAGATGGTTCCGATTTTAATGTCAGGTTAAAAAGAGATAGTATTGCCACTTACTTAATTTGGCAAAATAACACAAATAAAATTTTGGTTTCTCATATTTTAGACAAAAGGTTCGGTTTGGTAGACGTTTCGTTTGCGACAATCATCTCCGTCTCTAGTCCGAAAATCGTGTACAATGAAATGTTTTTGATATTTACAAACCGTCCAACTTCGAAAATGATTTACCAGCGTTTGAATAAAAATATCTTTCAGTTGGAACCTGGTGAATATAGCGTGACGTTGGTATACCGGGATCAATTATACTACTCCACCTCTTTTAAGCAAATAATGAAATTGGAACGGGCCCGTATATACTCGCTGTTCATTTACGTTTATCCGAAAGACAATAGCACCCGGGCGATTTTCTATACTCTCGATCATCCGCCCATATACAGTTACAGTATCATCTTAATACAGCTTCTGTTGGACAGTCTGGGACGAGTGATGGCCACCGTCCCTTTCTTCACATTTGTCTTCTTGGATTCCCTAGAGAAGTTGAGGTGCACGTTAATGTCTTTAGCCATGGCGCTGAACATGACTTGGTTTTCCATTTTGCAGCACCCCTATGTTAAATACGAAATATTCAAGAAAAGTATGAACTTTTTACCAATCACCCTGGTCATCCACGGGCTTCTGTGTTGTGCGAGCTTATTCTTTTATTGTGATTTGGCGTATACATTTCGTAGTTGATAGTCATGGTTTGAGTGCTCAATAAAAACTTAAATAACAGAAGTAGTAACATGTGTTTGTTTTAAATTTACTATCTTCATAAAATAAAAAACATTGCATTCTAAATGCAGAAATTCAGTTTTAAACTCATCTATTAAGCAGCAAATTTGTCCATATAATTTTCCATTCCTAATATGGACATAATCAACATAGTTTCTTTCATGTCATACATAAATAAATTGCACAATTTTGTAGTATTTACTTTCCCTAGCATTTTTGTTTTATTTTTTATTATAAATTGCCTTAAGATGTATAAGAAATTGTTTTTTATTGAAGGAAAATTTAATTAAAGAATTTTGGAAGGTTTTAATTAAATAATTTTGTTTTTTGGACGCAATGTTTTTTTTAAATAATTAATACCGTGTATAATGTCCTCTGTTAGCTAATACAACCTCTGATTGTCACGAATTTCATAAGGAATTTCACTCCATAGGTATTGCAACCTAAACTCAGTTTTTGCAGGTCAGCTGACCGCGGATGGCGAAAAGCCTTCTTTGCAAAGTATCCCACATATGGAGGTCTGGAGACAATGGGGGAAGGAGCAGATTGTAAATTCCCAGGTTTTATGATGAACAATTCTGCCTCTGTGAGGTGTAGCATTGTCATCCAACATTGAAAATCCCAATAAGATCACTAGTTTGAGAGGTGTATAATATAATATAATTTTTTCGATAATTTCGTGGACATAATGGACTGAGTGAGGTTACCTTCACCAATATGGAGTACGGTTCGTCTTCCAGTGTAAATCCCAGCCCAATTCATTACATCGCCTCCTCCAAACTGCACTCAAGAGAGCATGAACTTGGGCATCTCCAGGTGATAAATCTGAAGATTAATCATTACCAATCAAATTGGTCTCACATATCGCCATTTCATCATATTCAGCAGTTGTAATAAGACCCAGAATAACCTATGGATCACTAATCTGGTGGAAGAAAGCTCAACAAAAAGTAGCTCCCCGAACATTAGGCAGCATACAAAGACTAGCAAACCTGTGTATCACAGGGGCAATGAGAACAACCCCTACAAATGCCTTAGAAACTCTGCTAAGCCTACCTCCATTGGAAATATTCATACAAGGAGAGGCTAGGAAAAGCTCAATTAGGCTCCAGAAGCAATTAAATTGGAAAGGAACTAAACAATTCGGGCATACAACCATAATCAACAAAAACAGACACCCATTATTAGAAATGGGGACTGATGTTATGATCCCGGAAACTTTCTTCACAACTTCCTGTAAAGTTTCAATGGACTACAAAGGAGAGGAAGAACAGGAGAGCATCAGATACATTGATGTGGTATATAGATGGCTCCAAAACAACAAGCCCAAAACATGAGCAATCAAACTCATTAGGGAAGTACACTTCGGTCTTTCAAGCGGAAATACATCCCACCAATGCTTGTGCCCTGGAAAATCTTAAAAGTGGTTACACTGGCAAAAAATCCTCATAAGATCTGATAGCCAAGCAGCCATTAAAACATTAGCATGTAAAAGAATCACATCAAAATTAGTCAGTGAATGTATCCAAAATCTACAAAACCTGGGGAAACACAACAACTTGATGATATCTTGGGTGCCAGGGCACAGAGGAATTTTGGGTAACGACAAAACAGACAGACTGGCTACAGGAGGATCTGCAAGACCATACATAGGCCCTGAACCTATACTTGGGATAACAACAAAAAAAGTAGAATCCTCCATCGCAGAATGGATCCAAACAAAACAAAAGGAGAAGTGGATAAACTCTAGCAGTGCTAGACATAGTAAACTTATGAAACAACCCTCACCACAACTGGCAAAATCATTGCTGCAATTGGAGAGGGCCAATCTCAGAGGAGTGGTAGGTCTACTAACCGGTCACTGGTATCTGAGAAAACATCTACACAACATGGGCATCTACAACGATGATCCTATTTGCAGATTATGTAATGAGAAGGAAGAAACAGCCACTCATATCATCTTCAATTGCGAAGCAACAGCTCAATGGAGATTCAACCTAGCGTACGAAAAAACTTAGGGATGAAATTGTAGCAGCGACCGTCAATGACCTGATACTTCTAAGGAGATAGATTGAGTCTATTGCACTGAACTAAGGAACTAGGAAGGTACAATAAGCCAGAAGGCTGCAGTGCCAGGGGAGCGCAAACCCCACTTCCTAGTATCCTTTTTTATCATACCATACCATATTCAGTAGTTGGTTTATTTTGTACTAATAAACTATAATATGTATTTTATATTTCAATGATGGTCAATGAAGTCGACAGCAGACCCAATACAATTAAATGTCCTAAATTAATTTCATTCTCAAACATTCAATACAAACAATATTTTTTGTATCAGAGCACATGGCAGTGCATTGGCCAAGTTCCAGCAATCTGCCATGTGTATCTTCACTCAAACCAAGTCACCCTGTTTTTCTCACCTTCATATCTCTACTTACTCTTAAGATGGGCTTTTAAAATTTGAAACATAAATTAAAAGCTTAGTCGTGTAAAAATTTGAGTACTTAATCATTAAGCCATTTCAAAAGGGGATAATTTCAAAATTTGCATTTTTGTTACTGACTGAACTTCAAAATAATAAGGCTCTTTCTAAACAGCTACAAAAATGAAATTCGGTAAAAAGGTAGATTTTAATTTAAATTATAAGGCACTTTACGTATAGTTAGAAGCATGACATTTGGTACAAGGTCATGTATTGAAAAAAAGGTAAGAATCAACACTGTTCTTTTAATTAATTAAGGATTTTAGTTGAGCTAAAAAAGTCAATGGCACGAGCGGGATTCGAACCCATGATCTTCAGCTTGATACGCCGCTGCTCTACCACTTGACTATCGTGACCTCAAGACACCATTGACTTTTTTTATCTAAACTAAAAAACCTTAATTAATTGTAATATATTAATTGGTCAAGTGGACCACAAAACTAGTGAATTTAGTAAATTTGAAATGAAGTATCCTTCACTAAAGCTCTCCGTGCGCATTTCATTTGTCGCCGAGAATCAAATTGATTACACGACATTTGAAAAATGGCAAAACGGAGGGAAAATTCTAAAGGTGTGGTTGAGATGGGAAGCTGGTGTCCGAGTAGATCGAAGTCACTATAGTCAAGTGGTAGAGCAGCGGCGTATCAAGCCGAAGATCGTGGGTTCGAATCCTGCTCGAGCCATTGACTTTTTTATCTCAACTAAAAACCTTAATTAATTTTATGATATTAATTGGTCAAGTGGACCACGAAACTAGTGAATTTAACTGTTCTTTTATTTTTATTGGTTAACACTTGTCCAGTTTCTGAAAGAGGATTAAACCAGTGCTCACACAGGAGAGGTGAAGGAAAAGTAGAGAACTTACAAGAAATGAAAAAATTCCAGGCTCCTCATTGCTCATAAAAGTAGGAGTGAAATGAGGTTATCCACAATGTAGATGACTACTTTGATAGGATGACTTTTGTGGTAAGGAGTCTGGAACTTTTATTTTTCTTTTGAGTTCTTGGATTATGTACTAAAAAAATAACGGACTTGGCTGTAATTTAGATACATTACATTGATGGGTTAATTTTTATGGAGGGGATCCTGGCTTTTTTTCACGGTTAGGTTGTTGGGTTCTTTTTAAAATTATGTATTTCAAATAGCATCAACCATATGGGTCATTGAAGCAATGAAATTTGGAATAATCCAATTTGAATGATGCTTAAAATTGACAGTGTACAATGAATTGCAATACCCTGATGGAAAAACTCAGACCCCCGTTGTCGAATCAATTCAAAAAGATTTTTATTGTTTAATAATTCGTAGTTTGACTTTGAAGATCAACCCCTTATTGATTAAACAGGAATTATAAATGTGCAGTTTGCATCTTCGCACGAAACAAAACAAAAAACGGAGATGTGTCTTAAGCTGGGCTAAATAATTTCCTCTTATAATCAATTAGCATAAAAATTTATTTTACTCTGCTATTTAATTGAAGAACCTTCGAGGCGTCTGAAAAAAGATAGCTTGAGTCAAAAATACTACGAATGGATTTGATAAGAGGGAGGAGAATACAACTGACCGTCGGAGCAGAGAAGGATTTCATACTGTCTTTGTCCTCTGCCCTTGGGGATCCGGGTAAACTGATATTTTGCAGCCTGAGGCGTGCTGCATGATTCAATTTTGGCCCTGTACTCTGAAAATGCTAATATTAACTCATGTTCTAGTTATATAAAAAAATAACTTTTTTACCGATTTTCGACACTTTTTCATTTTCAATTCAGCATTGTGTTCTGTTGCATGACTCTGTAAAAACTGCTCATGCTTGGTGGTGCAGATCTCAGAATCAAACTTCTTGTAGAACCTAAACATTTAACTATTAAATATCAAGTAACTTCTTGATGAGAGGTTGACATTACCCTTGTTCTACAAGTTTGTGCTTCCTTTCTCTTATCCACAAACTTTTCAGATTGTTGTGTGAAACTATTTTAGAGGAATTCACTGAAGAAATTTGCTTCTCTGAAATGTCACTGTTGCATTGATCAGATTGATTTTTAGGTGTTGCAGCACGAGTTAATTCATCACTCTTAAGTTCCTGAAAATAAAAATACAGACTTAACTCTTTCATTATACAAATCCCATTTAAACAGTTATATTTAACAAATTTCAATTTTAAGAAGAAGAAAAGAAAAGAAAGACACTGTAGATAAAATTATTGGAATGATCTTGCGAAGATTTAACATACTTTTTCCAGTTGATTTTCATAATTCATTTTCTTGATAACTTTCAGACACTCTTGTCTTAAACTTCCTTGTAATGAAAATGTTGTTACTAAAGTAGAGTCAGATTTGACCTTTGACACCTTTGGTTCTAATGGTTTATTCTCTTCTTTTATTGTTTCAGTTATTTGTGGTTGTTTTATGAGCACAGTCTTGTCTGGTCGTTTCAATTTAGTTTCATTAGTTTTATTATTTGTCACTTCTGGTTCAAGTGTGGTGAAAGATGGCCAAGTCTCTAACTTGATACTCTGCAACGTAGATTGTCGCATTATTTTGTTCTTGGCTCGCAATTTAGCAATCTGGAGAAGCCTTTTCCGCCTCAGTTTTTCCTCTTGTTGTTTCTTCGCTTCGACTTCTTTTATCTTCTTTTCAGCCATCTCTTTTTCCTTTCTCTCCCTTTCCCTTTTTTTCTTTTCGTGCAATTCCACCAACCTGAGCCACCTCTTTTCTTTCTCCTTTTGTCTTAAGTTCAAGACTTTGGCGTTGTTCGGTACTAATTCTTCTGACAGGCGTGGTTGTGTTCTGTGATCAGGCTTGGCTTTTTGTCCGCCAAAATTATGCGTATCATTTTTCATTTCTGGTTTTTCAACATGGGTTTTGTTTCTTCTTAAACTTACAAGCTGAAATAGAAGACTATCTATATTATGGAATTTACTTATTACAGATAATTACCTTTAAACATTGAACAACGATGTCCACTTGGTTGTATGATCTTGGAATGTCTTTATTGTCCAATGTACTCAAAGGTACGTCCAAGTCTAGTGTATCATTAGAATTTAATACACTGTACAGCTTTGTCAATCTTTCAGTTATCGGTTTGTAATTTTTTGGTATAATCAAGATATCAACATCATTACTGGTTACCATGCCAGGGAAGCCTGTGATGGAATCGTCCTTCTTTTTTCTTAATTCTTTCTGAAAAAATTATTTTCTTTAATCACAAGGGTTTATAATAACAATAATTTCCCCTAGGATATAAATTTTACACAAATTAACTTACCGTTTGTGACTCATCCAAAGTGAGATTTGTAGGTTTTGGATCCAATTGAAGACAAAGCTTAGAGTCTTGCCGACTCAGAACTTTATTATCTGTAAGTTTTTTTTTATTTTTCTTTGATGTGTTCTTAGCATGTTTTCCAGATCCGCTTGTGTTCTAAAAAATCTCATTATTTTAATGAATATCTATATTAAACTATTTTGCCTTTTTTAAGAATAATTACTAACACATCCTCTATCCATAGTTTCTTTCTTGCGACAGTTCCACTGCCAGAAATTAGTTTGGAATTCTTGAAGTTCACCATAAAGTTTATAAACATTTTTCCCCAAATTCCGTAATTTTACCTTTTAAATTTAAAAAATTTGTTTAATTTTTTTTAAAAGAAAATTTACCATTTTTAAACGTTTATTTTCTCACCTCAGCATAAATTATGTAGCTCACAACGAGAATAATTTGTAAGCATACTGGTAAAAAGTATGCAGCATATGTATCTCCTAAATCGAATAATCCGCCATGTAAATACAAATTACATATATATTTTTTTATACATTGTACTCACTCAACAATGACAGAAACTTGTTCAAGTCATAATCCTCAGTGAAAGAGTCGAGAAGACAGCCGGTCCAAGATGCCTCGCAGCTGCGGCTCTTGGAAAACAAATTCTGGACGTAGCTCAACATCAAATCTGCTCATTTCCTGTATAACAAACTAATGTGTCCAATATAATTTTATAAAATAGCCAGCTGATTACTCGAGTCTTTCTGTTATACCTTTTTGGGATGATGCCATATGATTTAGAGACTTGTAAACCAAGAATAAGTCCAGCTTGCAGTGGTTGGCATAAATGGACTTTTTTCAAAGAACATTTTGTATCTGTATAATCATTTTTCATTTTTTTTTAAATAAATAAATAAAGTTTATTGTAAAAATTATAGAAACAAAAAATATCTTGTTGGATCAAAAGTATTAATTTAAAATATATAGTTTCCATGTTCTAGATATTCCAACAACTCGATTTACTATAATACTAATATTTATTAAATCCTAAATTTTATCAGCTTCTATTAAATATATGTATAAATACTCAATTAATTATACACAATTTTTTTTCGAAATGAAAAATTTGTGTCACAGGCGGGATTCGAACCCACGACTTTCAGCTCAATACGCCACTGCTCTACCACTTGAGTTACCGTGACTTCGATCGCCCATGCCACAAACTTCTCATTTCGACTACCCGATTTTATTCTAATTATAAGCAAATCTGAAAGTCGTGGGTTCGAATCCCGCCTGTGACACAAATTTTTCATTTCGAAAAAAATTGTGTACAATTAATTGAGTATTTATATATTTAATAGAAGCTGATAAAATTTAGTATTAATCTAGAATCACACCTGTGAATCGTACACAGTCCCGCTAATTTAGTATAATCGTTAATAAAAAGTGTTTCTATATGAAGCCGCGATTTGCTTATAATTGGAATAAAATCGGATAGTCGAAATGAGAAGTTTGTGGTATGGGCGATCGAAGTCATGGTAGCTCAAGTGGTAGAGCAGTGGCATATTAGCCGAAAGTCATGGGTTCGAATCCCGCCTGTGACACAAATTTTTCATTTCGAAAAAAATTGTGTTCAATTAATTGAGTATTTATTAAATCCATTATGTTTAGTGGTCTAATTGACCAAACTACTTCTTTCAATTAATTATTCTTTTTATGTAAGGTTTGGTTGAGATAAAAAAAGCTAGTGACACGAGTGAGATTCGAACCCACGACCTTTGGCTCAATACTGCCAAAAGGCTGCAGTGTTTGGGAAACGCCAAACCCCCTGCTTCTAGTATCAATTCTAATCAAAATGTCATTTGTGGTTCATTTTTTGTGTCAGGCACTAGAAAACATTGAAAGAAACTCATTACTTGTGAAATGTAAAAACATAATTTGTCAATACAGTTTGAAAAGGTGACAAAATTACTAACAGTAAGCCAACAAATCATTGACTGTTGCTACATTTTATTACATCTTGTTTTCCTATTGTGCCCATTTTTCAGCATTAGATTGCTTATATCAGAGAAGTAATCTTTTGTACTTACCTGTGATGGATCCAAGAATAAGAATTTTTACAATTTTAAATTCTAGCATGCAAACAGCTCTGGAAATTACTCTGATTCAACACTTAAATAAAAGGAAGATCTATATAAAATTTTGTCAGCTTTTTTTTTTCCAGAGCACAAATTCTCCACACCACACTAAAAATTAATATAAATCACTGTTTTTATTAGCCATAAAAAATAAAGTACCATTTAAAAATATTGTTGACACCCTAAAGAAATATGTTTTATGTTATAAAATAAAACATGTATAATTTAAAATTGAAATGAATACAAATTTTTTTTTTTTTTAACATTGCTTGTGTACATATTGTTGTAAAGATGACTGTAAGTGGATTTATGATAGTATGGTCAAAAATGAACAAATTCAGTGTGAGCATTCAAGGAAATGCCAGCCATCAATGGCCCACCGAGGAATGCCACCTGAGGAACATACCGCATACGGTGTTCCTTTCTCCTGAGTGTCTTCATATCTACACCAATGACATCTAACTGGAGATTTAAGGCCACCACATCTATAACGAGAACATGTCTCCAATTTTCCATTGTCAATGCGAATTGAAGTCTGGTCATTTTCTTAGCTGTGGTAAAAATGAGGTCCACGAGCTGGGTGTCGAGCCCTGACATTATTTTGCTGCAGATTCATAGAGCATGATGATAGATGAATCTATTATCTTTTTCACCTGTAGACCTAGTCCTGGCCTTCTAGCATGAAGCCATGTATCTCTGAAATGCCAAAGTAAGCCTTTCTATTGTAAAATGACTTACATTCAGTCTCCTGGTGACTTCACGCTGGCTGTATCTTTCCTCTAATAATTTTATGATTCTGACACTGCCATATTCAGTCAAAGACCTGGCTGGGCCCATTGAAAAACGTTTAAGAATAAGAATCATATCAAATGAAATCAATAAGGAAAAAGATTACTAAAAGCGAACCAGGCATAGCAGAATGTAAGGGCACAATTCCACTTTTTGTGCAAATGGGATTAATAAGTACAAAAGTGAATAACGGAAGTCAACAAAGCATTATATACTGTTTATTTTGCCTATAACTCCTAATTACTTCTAACTAATATAGAACGATAATGGATTTAATACAATTAATTAAGGTTTTTAGTTGAGATAAAAAAGTCAATGGTACGAGTGGGATTCGAACCCACGATCTTCGGCTAGATACGCCGCTGCTCTACCACTTGAGCTATCGTGACCTCGATCCACTCGGACACCAACTTCCCATCTCAACCCCACCTTTTCAATTTTCCCTCCTTTTTGCCATTTTTCACAAGGTAGCTCAAGTGGAGGAGCGGCGGCATATCTAGCCGAAGATCGTGGGTTCGAATCCTGCTCGTGCCATTGACTTTTTTTATCTCAACTAAAAACCTTAATTAATTGTAATATATTGGTCAAGTGGACCACGAAATTAGTGAATTTAATGGTTTTAATTTTAAAATAAAATTGAGTGGTGCATTAAATTTGTTCATTGTTTTGCTTACAACAATTGTATTTCCACTACATTTCTGTTCCCAACTCCCCCCCAGATATAATAATAATAGGTTTTACAGAATTAATCCAATTTACAAAAGTGTTTATAGATTATAGATATAGGCAACATAAAAGCAAAACTAAGAAAACAAAGGAAAAAATTGCTTAAGTATTGAACAATATATAAAATAACAAAATATCATAAAAGTATGTTTCATACATAAGGAAAAATAAGAACAATGTAAAAGCATAACTAAAAAAAAAAAACAAAGGAAAAAATTACTTAAGTATAAAACAATATCTAAAATCAAAAAATAACTTAAAAGTATGTTTCGTACATAAAAAACAACTAGAACAATATAAAAGCAAAACTAAGAAAACAAAGGAAAAAAATTACTTAAGTTTAAGTATTAAACAATTACAATAAGAAAATATTTTAGAAGAATCGTTCATATAAATGAGACAATATATAAAACAGAGCAATATAAAAGCGAAACTAAGAAAACAAAGGAAAAAATTACTTAAGTATTAAACAATATGTAAAATAAGAAAATACCATAAAAGAACGTTTCATATATAAGAGACAATTTAAAAATAAAACAAAACAATACAAAAACAAAACTAAGAAAAAAGGAAAAAATTACTTAAGTCTTAAAGTATATGTAAAATAAGAAAATAGTTTAAAGGAATGGGAAATATATATGAGACAATTTATAAAATAAAACAAAATAATATAAAAGCACAACTAAGAAAGCAGGAAAAAAATGGCAAGTATTAAACAATGGAAAATGAGAAAATAGCTTAAAAGGATGTTTCATATATAAGACAATTTATAAAATAAAACAAAATATAAAAGCAAAACTAAGAAAAAAATAACAAGTCTTAAAGTATATATAAAATAATTTATATAAATAATAAATAATATATAAAATATAATGATATAAAAGCAAAACTAAGAAAACAAAGGAAACAATTACTTAAGTATTAAACAGTTACAATAAGAAAATAGTTTAAAAGAATGGTTCATGTATATGAGACAATAGATAAAACATCACAATATAAAAGTGAAACTAAGAAAACAACGGAAAAAATTACCTAAGCATTAAACAATAAAAAATGAGAAAATAGCTTAAAATAATGTTTCATGTAAATAAATATACATAAAAAAGATAAAATTTATCATTATTGTAAATTTTAAAATTTTATATAAATAATATTAGAAAACAATTACATAAAATGTTGATTAATTAATTAATAATTAGTTAAATTATATTCAGTAAAAATTTTAATTAGAAATGATATATATAAAGTTAAAAATGGAAATATATACATACAAAAGTGCAAGACAAATCATTTATTTAAAAAAAAGTTATTATAAAAATAAGATAATTTAACATGAAATAGTCATAATAATTCAAGATTTAACATGTCTGCACACTTGACTGTAAAATGAATAAAAATGAGAATAAAAAAAATAGAAAGGTCTGGAAATTTATTGGCTGAACGCATCATTAAGGATCATCAAGGAGTATTTTGACTATTGTAAAATAGTAGGATGTAGGTCTGCTTTGTTAAATATTTTGTCGCTGCCGGTCCGTTGTCCGTACGTGGGCCGCTGCACGCAAGTTGGATTGGTTGCACGACGCCCCTCGTGGTATCACGCAGAAGCAACGATGACACGCACGGCCAGTTGGAAACGTCATCTCCCCCAACTTGCGTCTCGCCTATCCCTCTTGTCGTCTTGGTTGCGATTCCGGATTCGTCCTTTCGCTTTCACTTACGGTGCACTTCGCCGGCTGTTCTCGACGGTTTCGTTAACCACTTGTTAAATAAATATTTCCAACGTAAGTTTGACTTTTTCTTTCGTAAATAGTTTTTTTTTTTTTTTTAATTGTTTTCTAACAATGTTCGTGTAACATATTTAAATGTTCTATCTTAAAAATTTATTAACGGCTTGGGATTTTTTAAAAACATTATTTAATTAATAATTTGCCTAATCTTTAATACGAGAGTCAATTTTGACAATATTAAACCTTACGACAAGCAGCCGGTTTTCCATTCCAACCGGTTAGCCGGTCGTTTGACCTTGAACTTATTCATCTGTATCCAACAATTATCTGGAACGATGGTACGTCGGATTCTAATGAGAAAACCATCAGAATTACAATTACTGTACTTTAAAATTTTTTAGAATTTCTTTTATAGAACATTCCATCGATCGACTAGAATGTTACAGGCTTTTTTGGTGGAGAGGAATAGTCTATTATCTCAGTATCGGCCCTTTTATCAACAGTGTGATTTGTTACGCTGAACTTGTTATTTAAAAAATTATATAATTTTTTCAACAAAAAAATCTTAAAAATCAGTTAACGTTCTGCTAGAATTATAATTGAAATTATGAAACGATTACTCATAAAAAATCTCCTTTAAATTAACATCCTGTTAGCATTATAATTGAAATCATGAAACTATTGCTAATACAAAATGCTCCTTTAAATTAACATCCTTTCAAGCGTAATAATTGAAATCATAAAACTATTGTTCATAAAACAAACAAAAAATGCTCCTTTTTAATCAGCTAATATCACCCTAGAATTATAATTGAAATCATGAAACTATTGCTCATAAAAACATTTTAAAAAAAATGCTCCTTTAAATTAACATCTTTTCAAGAATAATAATTGAAATCATAAAACTATTGTTCATAAAACAAACAAAAAATGCTCCTTTTGAATCAGCTAATATCACCCTAGAATTATAATTGAAATCATGAAACTATTGTACATAAAAAATGCTTGTTTAAATTAACATCCAGCAAGAATTATAATTTAAATCATAAAACTATTGCTGATAAGAAATACTCCTTTAAATTAACATCTTGCTAGAATTATAATTGAAATCATGAAACTATTGCTCATAAAAAATGCTCCTTTAAATTAACATCCTGCAAGAATTATAATTTAAGTAATAAAACTATTGTTCAAAAATCAAAAGAATGCTCCTTTTGAATCAGGTAACATCACCCTAGAATTATAATTGGAATCATGATACAATTGCTCATAAAAACATAAAAAATGCTCCTTTAAATTAACATCCTTTCAAGAATAATAATTGAAATTGTGAAACTATTGTTCATGAAAAATGCTTCTTTAAATTAACATCCTGCAAGAATTGTAATTGAAATCATGATACTATTGCTCATAGAAACATAAAAATGCTCTTTTAAATTAACATCCTGCTTGAACTATAATTTTAACAAAAACTATCTTGCTAGAATTATAAATGAAATCATGAAACTATTGCTCATAAAAAATGCTCCTTTCAAATCATTTAACATCCTGCTGGAAGTATAGTTGAAATCATGAAACTATCGTTCATAAAAAAAAAGCTTCTTTTGAATCAGCTAACATCCTCCTAGAATTATAATTGAAATCGTGAAACAATCATCCATAAAAACACAAAAAATGTTCTCTTCGAATCAGTTAACATCCTACTGGAATTATAATTGAAATCATGAAACTGTCGTTTATAAAAACACAAAAAATTCTCTCTTCAAATCAGTTAACAACCTGGTAGAATTATAATGGAAAACATGAAACTATTGGTATTTTGTTATGCTCATTTGGCAAGGACACAAGAGATATAATAAGTTAATAGCAAACAAACTCACCACTGATGGTGAAATCCAGCAAAGTGTGATAAACAAAAACAGCAAAATTATTGGAAACGCCCTAACTACAACTTCTTTAAAAAATATTAAGGTTGATATCAAACAAGCCAAAATATATAGATGGGAAGACAGATGATGGATAAACAGATAGTCATATCGACTGACATGGACTGATCGGCAGAAAGACAGTCATGGTAGATAGATAATTTTTATTTGTGCCAAATAGTATATGAAATATACTTAAGGACCACATATCGCCTTGTGATGTTGAAAATGGTTTGACCCCCTCATCCGTGATACCTAACTGACAGATAAACATTAATCTCTCCTTTCTGATGAATTACTCATTTTTAAATACTATTAATTCTTTAATAAAATTATTACGATTATGATAATATTTGATCTGCAAAAATAAATTTTACCATTCAGAACCCAAGTGAGGAAAAAAGTAAATTTATTTATAACATTTTGTTGATTTCTTAATAATAAATAATCTATATGGGTTATCTCGGCCTGAAGTATTTTTTTCTTGATTTCTTTTCTTTTTTTTTTTTCAATCAAGTTTTTTTCTTGATTGAGCAAAACATTAAGTTGTTTAAAAGTGTAATTTGGTATTTATTTCCTTTGATTATAAATCAATTTAATTATATTTAAGATCATTCTATACAAGATGAAAACAAATATTTCCAAGATACTTGGAAGCCATTTGTATATTTTAATTTCTCAGCAAACAAAATTATCAGGTTGTACAGTTTATTAAATTATAGCAAGAGATAGATTTTGACTTTTTTTAATGGGTTACTACATAATAACATTTACAATTTATTTCCATTAACTGCCAAATCATATTTTAAAAAACAACAATGAATTGGTTGGTCCCAATCATTTTGGTATGTTGTACATATTTTGGCATTTTGCCTTCTCAGTGTTGAATCTAGATGGAAAAATGCTGAAATATGTCTGACAGACCAAATCAGCGAGGATAGGCAGCCCAGGATGATGAGTAACAACCAAATTATATGTATATCACCCTGCAGATCACAAGGATAAATCTCACAAATCAATAATCACCTTGAATGCATAATTTCTTGGGAGAGGTAGTTTTCAATTTCAAATACATTGGGGTCCTGATAATCCTGATTTCTGTTTCGGTTGATGGTGATGATTTTTTTTCTTCAAAAATATAGGTTTTTTGTGTTTTATTATTGGTCAGTTATTTTAGCTTTGCCCAGTGCCAATTTTTCGTTGCACTTTCATCCAAAAATTGTGACATCTGCATGGTGATGAACGTACAGTTGGTTTGGTCAGCCAGACTGGTTTCGGCTTGTCATGATCTTCAATCAGTTTTAACCAAAATTATTATAAAAAACTGGAGATGGCATGAAACTGAACGCACCCAATAAGCCAAAACTGCACGGATAGGCAGGCCAAAATGATACAAAATGACTTAACTGTACTATCACCCTTGCCCTGTTTTTCAAAACTTACATTTTTCAATGTACACATGTGTACATCACCTGCACCTGTGTTCCTACCAGACCTGTTTTATTTCTTGCTTTTATATTATTCAGGTAATCCAGATTTATGCTAATCCGAAGAGGTCATCGTCCCAATTCTACTCACATTTTGGGCTTATTTTTTTTACAAGTTTTTATTACAAAATTTTTATAATTACAATTATTTAAACGGCAAACAGTTTTAATAGAATTAACATTTATTTAATTAATAAAATTTAACTTTTATTAATGCATTATATTAGACAAGGTTATTATTACCTAAGATATTTGACAGAAACGATTGACTTATCTGGAAAAAGATATAATTTTGACTCAACTTTTACTTTAATTAATTCTTAAGGAAAAAACACTTGCGTTAACTAAAATATAACAATAGAATATATTGATTTAAATTATTAATAGATTACAATTAATTAAGGTTTTTAGTTGAGATGAAAAAAAGTTAATGGCAATGGGATTAATAAGTACAAAAGTAAATAAAGGAAGTCAACAAAGCATTATTTACTGTTTATTTTGCTTATAACTCCTAATTACTTCTAACTAATATAGAACGATAATGGATTTAATACAATTAATTAAGGTTTTTAGTTGAGATAAAAAAGTCAATGGTACGAGCGGGATTTGAACCCATGATCTTCGGCTTGATACGCCGCTGCTCTACCACTTGAGCTATTGTGACCTCGATCCACTCAGACACCAACTTCCCATCTCAACCACACCTTTTGAATTTTCCGTTCTTTTTGCCATTTTTCAAATGTCGTGTAATCAATTTGATTCTTGATGACAAATGAAATGGCCACGGAGAGCTTTAGTGAAGGATACTTCATTTCAAATTTACTGAAATTCAAAATTCAAATTATGAAAAAAAGTTAAAGGCACGAGCGGGATTCGAACCCACGATCTTCGGCTAGATACGAAAATGGCAAAAAGGAGGGAAAACTCATAAGGTGGGGTTGAGATAGGAAGTTGATGTCTGAGTGGATCAAGGTCACGATAGCTCAAGTGGTAGAGCAGTGGCGTATCTAGCCGAAGATCGTGGGTTCGAATCCCGCTCGTGCCTTTAACTTTTTTTCATCTCAACTAAAAACCTTAATTAATTGTAATGTATTAATTGGTCAAGTGGACCATGAAATTAGTGAATTATTAATAGAGGAAACTGCAGTGGCTAAGTGGTTTGGGAGTTCAAATGGTATTTGCCACTCAAGCAGTTCTGGGTTCGAATCTTGACCGAATTAATAAAATAAAGCGGTTTGATCCCCTCGTCCGCGACATTCAATGGGTAGTTCATTGTTAAACCCTCCTGTTTGACAGGACTTACTTTAAGTTACAAATAATTTCTCCGACTACATAAAATATTCATTCATTATTTGTAGTTTAAGCGATATGACAGTCCAAAATTATATTGGGTTTATTTTCTCAATAATTGAATTTAAAAGCGTTATGCAACAAAGATTTAATTAAAATTGAAGACGTTTACATTATAAGTATCTAAAAAAACTGGAGTATCCAACCATTCTTAACAGTTGATTAAATGAATAAACAACTTGTTTAAAAAAAAACAACATTTAAACAAATCATCATAGAGTGAACTTTAATTTTGTTAATATTAAAGTTGTTAATTCATTAACCCCTTATGAAAGAGAATTTGAACTCATTTTTTTAATGCCTTTCTTATCTTATCTTTTCAAATATAACCAGTATCAAATCAGTCAAATCGTCATTATATGATAATTTTATTATGGGTTGTAATTTTAGCTTTTAGGCCCTTTATCATGGATTGCTGTTATGCAACAGCTCTTTAACACAAGGCTGATCATTCTAACTAGTTTCAATGAAAAGAAACCGTTAACTTCATTGCTCCTTTCTTTTTCTTTTTTTTTATAGAAACATTTATGCAATAGTGACCGTGACTGATGTGACCTTTTTGACCATGACTAAATTGGAAATTTGTTTAATTCTGTAACAATACTTAATTAAGAAACATTTTACAAAGTTTGAGGGCTTACAAAGTAAATTTTTTCTGCGAATATTGATGTTGATTAAAAATCATGATCACTAATGATGAAGTTCGGATTTGTCATTAGTAGGTTTTTTTGTCTATTTGTTATAGATGTCAAAATATTGTGTAAGTGAACGTGCTGTCAATGACCTATGATGCGTCAAGGCTAGTGTTGAACGGCCACTCCCTGTGGCCTGCATTGAAAGATAAACTTATTTATCACATAGCTCACAAATTTACGTAGTTCTTCTTGATTCAATACTTATTTTTCATAAATTTTTACACTTTGATTTGAGATGTTATAATTAGCTGCGATGATTTTTGGATATTTTGATGCCTGTTGCTGCAAGTTGAATTTGGGGTCGTCAGTGGCTGCAGTTTAGGCATTGATATGGTGCTCACCACTGTAAAGTAAAGATAGATCCCTTACGACATACTTCCAAATGGCCTTTTTTTCAAAAACAACATCATCCCGAGGGTTCATATAACCTCATAGTTGAATACCCTTGAATGTAAAATGGGAAAACAAGGATGAATTTGTTTATTTGGAAAATTTGTTGTTTTTTATTGAACAGATGTGTATGATAAACACGGTATTTCATTTAAAATATTATTTGATATAAAAGTAAGTCTTGTTCTACTCAGTAAAAGTATTATTTTTGAGTTAATTTCAAGCCAAATCATTTCTACTTAACAGTGACATTATTTGCCAGTTTTGTGTCAGTTAAGTTCTTCATAGGTTCTAATCGTATTCTTTTCGCCTCGCACCCGAAAAGACTTTTGCCAAAGAGATGGATGTAATTTTTAAAACTTAACTTGTCCTTAAAAATAGCCTTGATTGACAATTCCTTATTTTCAGGTCTTGTGGAAAGGGAGCAATAATGAGCAAACTTGGGATCAATGGATTTGGGCGTATCGGCCGCCTTGTATTGAGGGCAGCGGTTGAAAAGGGAGTCGAGGTACCATTATAACAATAAGAACTTTTATATGTATGATTTATTGATTTATTGATTGGAAATGCCCTTTTTCCCCTGGTGTCATGGTTTTTCATACACCTTCACTTAATTTTTTTTAAACAGAAATTCTCAAATGAGAAAGATAACAATGATACATACTAAATTCACTAGTTTCGTGGTCCGCTTGACCAATTAATATCATACAATTAATTAAGGTTTTTAGTTGAGATAAAAAAGTCAATGGCACGAGCGGGATTCGAACCCATGATCTTCGGCTTGATACTGCTCTACCACTTGAGCTATTGTGACCTCGATCCACTCGGACACCAACTTCCCATCTCAACCACACCTTTTGAATTTTCCGTTCTTTTTGCCATTTTTCAAATGTCGTGTAATCAATTTGATTCTTGATGACAAATGAAATGGCCACGGAGAGCTTTAGTGAAGGACACTTCATTTCAAATTTACTAAATTCACTAGTTTTGTGGTCCGCTTGACCAATTAATATATTACAATTAATTAAGGTTTTTTAGTTTAGATAAAAAAAGTCAATGGCACGAGTGGATCGAGGTCACGATAGCTCAGGTGGTAGAGTAGCGGCGTATCTAGCTGAAGGTCGTGGGTTCGAATCCCGCTCGTGTCATTGACTTTTTTATCTCAACTAAAAACCTTAATTAATTGAATGATACATACCTTTTATAAAAGATATGTATTTAGTTTGATCAGCTCTGATCATCCTGGTATGCCTACTCTTAACACAATAACACCTGCCATCATCCTGCCATCCAATTAGTCTCGTCTTTTATGACCCAAAACCTAAGACAAACTCCTTGCTTCCCAACCTTCAATCCAGCAATGTTATTCCTGACCACCAATTTAGGTTCAGATATTCTCATTCCATGAATCAGCAGTGGCATCATATTGTAGATATTACCACTACTGCTCTTGAACTAAAGGAGTGCTGTTCCGGTTTATTCCTGTATGTGAAGCAAGCTTATGACCGGCTATGGAACTTGGGCTGCTCTGAAGCATAAACAAGTCCTCCGTTTCACTTACTACCTAATTTTAAATTCCTACTAAACCGACAGATACTTTAAAATCATTGGTGAGCTTGCTCTAACAGCTGGTTATTATACACCACAGAAATTCCTATCCTTTATGATCCATAAAGATACATCCATACTATCCAAAAAAAAAAAAAAATCTGATACCATCAGATTTCCTTTCATAAAGATCCGTCATCTCAACCAGAAACTTGTGAAATCAGGTTACATCCCTTGAGCAGTGGTGGATTCTCTGTCTGATCTTTGTGTCCAGGTGATTATTTATTCCCTCAAGATCTTATCAAGGTGCAGGCCAATGGAATTGCTTGTTGGTATATTAGTGCCAATAAGCTGATTGATTAATGTTTAGACTTCACTCATTCTTATGAAGAATGATTCCAAGATTACACACGTTCACTGACTACTGAGGACAAATTTCTTTGGACAACAAATATGTAAGCCAGTCCCCATCTTAGTATAAGTTGTAGTTGTTAAAAGAAGAACAACAAAAAATTAGTTTAAGCGACCACACAAAAAAAGGATATAAACCATAGGGCTATCACCTGCACGGGAACAACAGACGTCCCCACCAATCTGGGAAACAACTCCACAGTAATTAAGCAGTTGGTCAAAGGGTGTCACAGCACAGATGGGAGTGATGTGATCTTAGCAAACCAGGGAAACCTAACACTGCAATAATTACACAGTTGGTCAAATATATTCTTCAGCCTGAAAACTGCGCCTGCAGAGGCTTGATAGGCTCTACTATCAGGGCCTTTGAGCAGTCTCTGGCGAGTTCAAAACAAGTCCTTTGGCCAGCCTTTGCTGCGAGCCCGAATTTTAGAAGGAGCAGCTCACCCTCAGCTATGCAGCAGGGTTCTGTGCCTAATTGGGACATCCACTTTTGGGTGCGATTCTTAGATGCCAGTATAATAGAATATACTTCAGACTTAAGACAAGGATGCGACCTTTAGGAATAATGCTTCGGCAAATCCTTCGAGAGGGTAGGGATGATTGCTGCTCTAAGCAGACTCTACCCAGGTTCTCATCCCTGGAGGAATGTAAAGGCGAACAGGGCGCAGATAAAACTGGGACATCCCAACCTCAAGCATGCAATAAAAGCCATGCTTAACCGATTAAAATAAGGTGGTAGCACCATTGGGCTGGATCGACAGAGAAACTCTCATGTATCAAGTATGCTGTTGATGGGTGACCCTTGGAGGATCTGAATTGTAGAAAAAGGGTCATCCTCACTTGGTTAAGAATAGGCCATGCGAGGATGACTCACTTTTGGGGCAAAGCCAGCTTATGTGTCCCACCTAATTGAAGGATGGAATTCCTTGGCTTCATATAGAGCACGCAGGAATGCCACCTGATTTGAGAATTGCGCTTGAGCATGGCAGTGAGTATTTGGATTCCTTGTTCCATTTCTTGAAGGACTTTTTATTCTACTGTTTACAGTTTAATAGTTGTGGGTAACTAGTTTGTGTTGAGAGTGAATGTATTTATGAGCGTGAATGTATTATGTGAGAGGGTTGATGGCTGAATATCTAGTACCCCATCGACTCTGAATTAGGTTAGTTGTATGATATATGTAAAAAGTGTTACTAATAAAAGGTGAATACTCCACCACCATAACACCATGTATGGTATGTAAAGAGGAGTGATTGTATTTAAGAATGAATGTAAGTTCAAATGGATTTGTAACTGCATGCATAGGGGGCTGAATTGATCTAGCTGTTGACAGCACCCCCTATGCCCGGGGTGGGTGATTCTAGAGTCTGCCAGCAGTCATTTATATCACAATTCTGAGCCTTGAACAACTTGGGGTTCAACCAAATGTTCCAACTTCTGACGTAATCCATCTTAGCAGTCACAATGACCATAATATTCAAATGCCAAAAAATAGCTACTAGAAGTTCCACAGTCATCTTTACACACACCTCATGTCAGAAATCTATCATCCTGCACCCTTCCAGATAATCCTGCCTGACTTGCTATGTCACTGGCCTCGTGACCTCCTAAGATTCCATTTAACAGGAGTGACTTATTGTGTAGTGTAAAAAAAGTTGTAGTATTTCAACCCCCTTGAGCTATAAAACATTAGTATAATTAACTTTTCTTATTAAATTTTTAGGTTGTCGCTATCAATGACCCCTTCTTGGGAGTTGATTATATGGCATATCTCTTCAAATATGACTCCACACATGGACGCTACAAAGGATCTGTTGAGGTTAAGGATGACTGTCTCGTTGTTGATGGAAAGAAGATGCAAGTCTTCCAAGAGAAAGACCCTAAAAACATTCCATGGGGAAAAGCAGGTGCAACCTACGTCGTTGAGTCGACTGGTGTCTTCACAACAGTAGACAAGGCCAAAGCTCACTTGGAAGGAGGTGCCAAGAAGGTCGTCATCTCAGCACCATCTGCTGATGCGCCTATGTTTGTTGTCGGTGTCAACCTCGACAAATACGATCCTTCGATGACTGTCGTCTCAAATGCATCTTGTACTACTAACTGCCTCGCTCCACTCGCTAAAGTTGTTCACGATAATTTTGGCATTGAGGAAGGACTTATGACAACTGTACATGCTACAACTGCAACTCAAAAGACTGTTGATGGTCCTTCTGGAAAAGTAAATCTATTTTTATATTTACCTTGCTGAAGATTTCATATTAAAACTTTTCTTTATTCAGTTGTGGAGAGACGGACGTGGGGCTAGCCAAAATATCATCCCCGCAGCAACTGGTGCGGCTAAAGCCGTCGGTAAAGTCATCCCTGAACTCAATGGAAAACTTACTGGTATGGCATTTAGAGTCCCTGTCGCGAACGTTTCTGTTGTTGATCTGACTGTCAGGTATGTATAAATAAATAAATATTAAAATAGATTTCTTTTTAAGTTTGCAGACTACAAGGTGAATTTATATTCCAGGTTGGTCAAGGAAGCCTCTTACGATGATATTAAAGCTAAGGTGAAAGCAGCAGCTGAAGGACCACTGAAAGGAGTCTTGGGTTACACCGAAGATGAAGTCGTTTCATCAGATTTCTGCGGAGATTCTCGCTCTTCCGTTTTTGATGCTAAGGCAGGACTTCAGTTAAACAAGAAGTTCGTCAAGCTTGTATCATGGTAAATAATTAAAACTCTGAATTAAAAAAAAAATAATTTCAATTAAATCTAATGTTGCTTTTGCTTTGTAGGTACGACAATGAATATGGTTACTCATCAAGGGTAGTCGACCTTGTTAAGTTTATGTCTTCCAAGGACAAATGAATTCAGGAAAAGAAACAGTTGATGTAATTCAGATTAGAAAATTTGAAAAAAGTTTTTAAAAGACTTGAATAATTATTACTAATTCATATAATAACCAATAATAATTCAACCACATAATAATCTATGTTTTGTATTTTTTGAATTGTTACATTTAAATACATTTTTGAAAAAGGATGAGTTTAATTTTGTAATCCTCATGCCATTACTACGCAAAGATTGCCTTAGATTCTGAAGTATTTTATGATTGGTGGGAGGAAGTTTTTTAACGAACTGTTTTAAAAATTAAAAGTAAATTGTGAAAATTCAAGAAATATCTATCACGACTTGAATGAATGGAATTAGAAACCTCCTTTTGCCAAGAGAAATTCTTACTACTAAGAAACTACAAAAAGACTAAGCAGGTGGTTAAATCGTGAGAATTCCTCTTGTAGTCTGCAGGGTGATCTGTAATTTGATCCTTACAGACACTGAAAATGGTGAAATGCATTCGACAGACTAACCCAGTAAGCCTATGCAAACCAGATGATCGGTAACAATACATACAGGGTATATCAACTTCTATAGTCCACCCATTTAATTTGGAAATTATTAAATTTAGCAAAAATTGATGTTATACAATCCCCAAGTTAATTTTGGTCAGGAATCGTGTAATGGTAACAGATTTAGAATGACTTTCCCTGCTAGCTTGGAAATGATACTAACTTTGTTATTCTAAATAAAAATCCATATTTCTACTGTACAGTTTGATTGTGGAGCTTATTTTATGCTACTTTTACTGAAAGAAAGGTTTCGATAGGATCGACAATTTCTGAGTTGTGCCTGCTGGAAGAAGCGTGAGGGCGTATGCTTTTTGTAACAACAGGGCCCGCCCACTTTATTTTGAAAACGACTAACTTTAGCGAAAAATCGTCATACAAACCCCAAGTTAATTTTGGCTAGGAATCACATAGTGGTAACAGAATTAAGACAACTTTCTAATCTAGGGAAATGACACTAACTTTGTTATTTTAAATATAAATCTATATCTTTATTGTACAATTTGATTCTGGAGCTTATTTTATGCCACTTTTACTGAAAGGAATATTTAGATAAGATCGACCATTTCTGAGTTATGCCTGATGGAAGATACGTGATGGGTAGTCTAGAAGTTGATACAACCCGTGTATATGGGTCCTTCAGGCCATACCTTGGATGAATTGATGACCCTGGCCCAAATGACAACACCACCAAATCTCTATTGTGCTGAGTTTCTGGAACGTTAGTCAAGGTATGCTGGCTTTCTTTTTCACAGAGAGGTCTACGACCAGAGAAGGTGTGGCCTGCACAATGCTTCGTACTTAAACGTCCCAGCATTATTGTGTGTGAGCTTATGGGATTTGGGGTGCATTTGGAGTCGTACAATCTGAGGACGATTCAAGATTAATCCTGAGTGTATCGGTTTTAATAGACAGGTTCTTGGTGGATCCTTTCATCGTACTTTTGCTCAAAACATTTGCTTGTTGGAGCCCCTAGGAAGAACAGTAGTAGTCTGGGGTACATGGACGTCATTGCTAGAAGGGAACGAATGTGCAGACAAGATGAAAGAAAAAGCCTGGATGGCTGACTTTCAAGATCTAACCCACTGATGCTAAACTAACAATGAAGAATATGATAAAGAATAGAGTCAGGACCACATTATCCCAGAAGATCTTACACATCAAGAACAGTCTCGATAGGTAGCTTCTATATAATCGATCTAAATAATAGAAAAGGTGAGAGAATCCAAACAAGATTCACAATCAGCTATACGCGGTTGACACATGCCCACGTACCTTTGGGCCAAAGCTTATGTGCCCAGCACGGAACTTATTGATTGAAGGGTGGTCCTTGGTCCACATAGAGATCGAGTAAGAATGCCACCTAATATGTCAATTGTGCAGAGTTTTGGGTAACCTCTGATTTTTAGAGAAAACAGATCTGTTTTAATGCAAATAGTACTTGAGCGTAGTATTGAGCAGAAGGTCGAGGATTAGAATCCTGCTCGTGACATTAGCTTTTTCAATTCAACCAAGACCTTAGATAAAAAGCATAATTAATTGGAATAATATTAATACTCTTATTTCAATTCAAAGGAGAGGATGTGCTAATCAATTTAATGATGGCGTTGGTAATGAGGTTACTAGGAGCTGGGGTTTGTGCTCCCGAGACACTGCAGCCTTCAGGCTTTTTGTACCTTTCTAGTTCCTTAGTTTTTCTCGTAAGTATTAAGTCATTGACTGTTGCTGCTACAATTTCATTTTTCATTTTTTTGTATTTTAGGTTATGTCTCCATCGAGACATTGCTTTGCATTCGATGATGAATTGTGTTCCTCCTCAATACAAAATATGCAGTTGGGATCATCATTATATATGCCCAGGTTATGTAGATATTTTGTCTGATGCCAGTGACCAGTTAATAATCCTATCACTCTACTGAGTTTAACCATATCTAACTGTAGCAGTGAGGGTTGTTTTAAAAATAAGTTTACTGTGTCTAGCACTCCTAGAGTTTATTCATTTCTCCTTTTGTTTTATTTGGATATGGATTTCTGATCTAGTTTAATTTGAATTACATTAAAATAAGTATATTGTTGGACAAGATACACGTATCTGGTTTGTTTTTGTCTTTGAGAGTATAAATCAATAATCAAAACAAGATAAACCTTGTTCACACTTCTAATGAAATATTAGATCGTTCACAAGGGGACATTCTTAGTCCCATCCTTTTCATCATCTATACTGCTGACCTACCTACACACCAAAGCTCATGACAACCTATGTTGATACTGCAATTTTGTCCTCTACCTCGAATCCTACCCAAGCTACCTCCAATGCCCAAGAACACCTCGAGTTTATCGACTGGTGCAAAAAGTGAAGGACAAGACTGAATGAAGGAAACTGTTCTCAGTGTATGTTCACATTGAAAAAATAGACTTGCTCTATACTGTACATCAACAACAAAGGGATACTGACTTCCTAGGACTATACCTAAACAGCAGTTGTGAATTCCCCACAGAAGACTTAAAAGGTAACACATTAACAGAAGACTTGGTCAACTACGAAGAATCCTAAGACCAAAATCCGTCAAACGCACCTAACGTTATACAAGACTTTGCTGCGATCACTTTGGACATACAGAGTGGAACTGTGGGGTTCTGCCAAGCTATCCAACATCCAACGCATCCAATTCTTCGAATCAAAAGTTTTCAGGCAAATCATCAAATATTCTTACTATGTCACTGTGGTATACCACACCTCAAGTATACCACATCGTTGTCACCAATGTGAAATTTGGATTACAAATATTTATTTTAACATACATTCGTTTTATGATTACAAACATTTTCTTTTTTTACAGTTATCTTAGGTTTACCACCACAGTCAATAACCTCACTATCCACAACGACCTCAACATTCCTTTTAAGTTAACCTTTCAATCCTTCCTATATATATTATATATTATGCAGGGTGGGCGACCAAGACCCGAGGGGTTAAAAGCCTAGGTAGGCCCGTACCCCATCCCTAAAAGGTCCGGGACTTGGTCGGCTCACGAGTCCTGCATTGAAAACCCCAAGATTTTGGACCATTTTATCTTGGGGAGTGATTTGTCAATGTCCTCTCCTTCAAAAGTTTCAAATCTATCCCTGGCATACCTCTCACATTCTGCGAGGTAGTGTCGAGCCGTTTCTTCTTTTATTTCACAGAAGCGGCAAAAGGGGCCTGGTAGGATACCCATTATGAAGAGGTGTCTTCTCAAGGGGCAATGGCCCGTTAGGATACTTATCAGCCTCCTAATTCCCCTCCTTGAGTTAGAGAATAACCATTTCGCTTGTTTTGGTTTGATTTCCTTCAGAAACTCCTTCGATTGCCTATGTCCAGGGGACAGATTCCATTCTTTCAGGAATTGTTTCATGCCCCAGCAATTAATATTCTCTTTCGTTGTGCTTACAGAGTGGGGTAAGACCGGTTGTGGCCCGCAAACGCGGTATTTGAGCCTTCTTTGGCCAGGCTGTCCGCCTCTTCATTGCCATAGTGCCCCTTATGAGCTGGTATCCATATGAGGGTTACTCTATTCTCGTACCTGGTAGTAATCCTATTAATAAGTTCAACTGTTTCCTCTACCAGCCTAGATGTTGATAACTCTTTTTGTAATGACTTAAGACTGGCCTGACTGTCGGAAAAAATTCTAATATCTTTTCCCTTAATCTTGTTCTCCATGAGTGTTCTACAGCAAACATTGATGGCCCAGACCTCCGCCTGAAAAACTGAGGTGTTATTACCAAGAGGGTAGGAGATGCTGATCCCTAATTTAGGTCCTTCCAGTCCTTCCTAACTCTATGGCTAGAGCCCTCTCTCCAGATTTCCATCCCGAAAGTCAGCCTTAATCGACGATGGCCTCGAGACCTCCTTGCCCTTTAATCCTTCACACTGAGTACCAACATTGGTTGGCTTCTCATAGCATGTGTCCTCCGGGTACAACATTCGCATTAGAGTTAGTGTGGTGACTGAGTAATAAGAACAACATACAGTGATCACATTTGTAATATATACAAATTTGTATAGACTACAGATAGATTGTTCGAAGATTGTTCAAAATATCTTTTCTTGAAGTTTTTTGTATGATGGTTGCTGCTGCGTATTTCAGCCAATCGCTTTAAATTTCAGACCGATTAGCGATCATTTATATGGTAAATTTATTATTAAATAGAGCAGATGTACAACTTGTTTAGAAATTGGAGGAAACCATGGAAACTGAAAAAAATGAGTCCGACTTGACATGCTAATTCGCGATTTGCGTAACATTTAAGTTGTGACAAGAGAATTAATCACGCACGCGATGCGTTTCCTGAGCGGTCGAGATCAAAGATAAGTTCAAAATATGAATTTAACATTAAGGACAAATTGCTGATTTACAATGATCTGCTGATTTGATGCATGTCCTTCATCAAAAGCAATAAATACTACGAAATTAAGAGAGCTTTTTTTTTAAATCCCCTCTTCCAGCTAAAATAGATACATAATCGTAGGGCAATTAGGAGGAAAACAAATAATCCTCCTCTCCGAGTCTGCGAGTTAACAAGAAATATCCGATAATTATAAGGCATGTTCTCCCCCTGGCAATTTCACCCATGAAAGCGGGACGGCCGGCCATTTTG